TTTGACTGATAGATTTCCAAAGCTGAGACACACATGCATTTTCTGTCCTTCTCATTGCTTGCCTCTCCATGGAAGACATTTATGTCATCTTGAAATCTTCTTGGCATGACCTCATTATTATACCCAAAAGTGCTTGCTTCAGTTATCACTTTAATTGCCATGGTTTTATTCAATGGTATCCTGTGATTTGCAGTTTGGTGAGTCTCTTAGAATACGCTGCACGTGAACTTAGTTCTGTAGTTTAGAAAACACAAATCTAGGTCTTCTACCAAAGCAGAAACCCCAGTTTCCATAGGCTGGAGCCTTCAAGTGATATCAACCTGCTGTAATTGTACAGTGTAAACATACACCCGATGCTGTGGTTTGGTAGTTTAGGACTGGACTGCCAACATATACATCTCTCTCCATGTGTCAAAATATCTATTTCAGTTTTGTGCAGCTATGGTTAGTATTCTAAATTTTTTTCCTAACAGCTAGTCTCCCCATCCCAATCAATTTAAAGAAGTGGTTCCACTCTTCTGGTTTTAAAATAACCAGTGAACAAACTATCCACATTGTTCCTAAACCAGCTAACTAGGCTCTGTGTCAAATGAATATCTAAGCATCACAGAGAATTGGTGAATATATCTGCTTAAACAAAAAGTAACAGTTTAAAGAAACATCTGGTTGGGATTTTTTTTTCCTTTAAGAAAAGAGTAATTGTGCCTCTGTGGGCGCAACAAATTCCATTGAGTTTGTTTTGCATCTTGCAGTTTGCAGCATGATGCTTTAAGTCTGAAACCAGTATTGTAAAACAATTGTTAAAAATTGAAACCTGAGGATGGACCATTACAACCTATTTTGTGAATTTTGCCTTCAAAAATGGAGAAATTCCATCCTAAACACATACATTCTGGAAGTATGAGCCTGTCAGAAGACTGCAAGCAAGGATCACGAAGAATCCATTCTGTCAAACTGATGTACACCTTCTGTAATCCATTAGATTTTGCACTTCTTTGCATTGTATGCCAGTTCTCTGAATAACACTTCAATATATAGTTCAAAACCAATATTTTGAAATAATCTTTTGGAAGAAAAAAACCCAGATTGAGTAGCCCTTATCTGGAATCTATAATACTCCAAAATTATCTACATTAATGACTAAGATAGTGACACCTATATGTTCTGATGGTTAATTGCACACAAACATTTGTTTCATGCACAAATCTATTATCAATATTATGCATAAAATTACCCTTGTGCTATATGTGTGTATGGTATATACGAAACATACATGTATTTAGTGTTTAGACTTGAGTCCAATCTCCAAGATCGGGCAATTCTCTTGCCCATGTGGGATCACGGGCACTAACTACAGCCTTGGCAGGTTTTTCCTACAAGAGGTTTAAAATTGACTTTATGCCAACACACACATTACAGGTTGGGTGCCTCTAATGTGAAATGCTTAGAACCAGAAGTGTTCTGCATTTCAGTTTTTCCTCAAGATTTTGTAAAAATTGTATATACATAACGAAATTTCTGCTCTGTCCTACATACGTAAGCTACACTTACACACACAGAAATCTGTAATAAAATGACAGCCAGTGATAGGCGAATGACAATGTTGTTTTTCTAGCTCTAGAACAACTAGCAGAACAGTTTGAGCAATGCTTGGCCTAATGAAGTCAAAATTACTGGTGCAAAGACTTAATGATAAAATAACTTATCAAACTGTTCCTGGAATGCCTGGGATGAGTCTTATACAACAGCAAAAGGGCTTGATGGTGGCTAGTGCAGAGGCTTATAGAGCTACCAGCATTGTGGATGAGCTGTGAGCTTGCAGTAGTGATGTCTGGGCATCTCTCCAATAGTGTATGCAATATTACGCCACGCGATCAGGTATTTAGAAAAATGTCAAAAGTTCACTTTTACGTTTGTAAAAGTGGACTTTTACCAACATAGCCATTTCCCAAATGTATATCATAGCAGCTGGTGGCTTCTTTGTCAGTGGGATGGTAAATTTTCTCCAGGTTTCCATCTAAGCTACAAAATATAACTAAGGTTCTGATCACCTTGAATCTAGAAATGCTTCAGTAACTGGAGACCAATACATGTTGATATGCCCCATTTTGCTATGCTTTGCTATAGCTGGACACAATGCACAAAGCACTAAAGTGCAGGGCTGCAGAAGTACTCATGTTGGAAGTGAAGACCATAGAGTAGCAGGAACTGATTGGTAACATCTATTATCCATAGCTGAGGTTTCATTGATATTCACCTCTGGGTTGTGTGGTTCCATTTGGAATACTGTGTATTGTTGAGGTTGCCCATCTCAAAGAAGAAAAGGAGAAGAAGAGAGAAGAAACTAAGATGGCAATTTTTTGCATGCATGTGGAAATGTGTTCAATTTACCCCATTGGGATTTTTAAAAATAAAACAGGTAGTCTTCCTTTACTCCCTTAATGGAGGTGACTTTGTGGACATCAGCAAAGTGCCCAGCAAAATCAGGAGCTTTCCAAAGCTCTGTGGCCACACTGTGGTGACAAACAACAACAAAGGTGTGAGAGATAGTCCACTGGATAGTCAGGACTTTGCTTTCATCATTGCTGCAGTTTGGAAGTGGAGAGGGGTAAACATTGTGGCAGAATCGAGTCAGTCCAAAGCCGCAATGCTCTTGACTGGTCCTATATTTAGGTGCCTGTGTAAATGGGACCAAAGTCATGCTGAAGATTGTTGAAGGAAGGCTGCTGCAGGTGATTATGGTTTACTTTTGTAATAAGATTGTCAGAGGTGGTTACAATTCTGGAATGGAAAGAATATTTGCAATTTTTTTATTCCTAGATCAAAAGAACAGCCAATTGTCACAGCCTGTCACAGCAGCTAGGAATCTTTTTAGGGAAGAATAATAGCCAAGCAAATATTTTGTGTATTTTTCTCCTGGTATTCCAGGGATTACACAGGAATTATTCTGTAAATTAAAAAACAGATCATCCCCCCCAAAAAACCTATTTTCTGTGCAGAAAATTGGTTTCCTTGGAAACTTGTTGTGCACAAAACATGTGAAAGCACATGTCCTCGGCAGAGTGAGTCCTATACAACACAAATGCAAGGAGAATGCTACGGAGAGCTATTCATTTTCTCCTGTTGCAGGAAAAGACGTTATTTTCAATATTTATCCTCATTATTTACATCCCCGCAAAAGAGATAGAAAAAATTATGATCAGTATGCAGAGAAGGTTTTTCCTCTCTTGTTCCACTGTTATTAGCTGTAAGATTCAGGGTGATAATCAGGGTGCAAGTCCCGCCATTGGGCAGGCTGAGGCTATTGGCCCAGGCATTAGATGCTGAGGGGCCAGAAATGCACTGGCCCCAATCCTTCCCCTCTTTTGCAGGGCAGACCTCTGTGTGTCACACAGTCCGGCATCCCTGGCCTAATGTCTTCAGATATAGTATAAGATCCTATCCTGTTGTCAGTGTTTTAAAAAAGTTTGCCAACAGCTTCTATACATGGAATGGAAGTGGGCATCGTCTGTCCTTTTATAGGATGTGAAATGGTAAGGAAAGGCACAATATTAGGGCTTCTGGTTTACTTAGTTAAGCAAATGCAACAATCTGAAGTAAAGAGAAGTTCATGTTCTCTTTTACATCTTGTACATCACCAAATTCTCAAAAGGGGCCAATGGATGAAGACTTATGACATTTTCCTTACATATCTCACAGCAGCTGGTGGTTTCTATGTCAGTAGAGTGGTGAATCTTCTCTACGTTTCAGTCTGAATTTCAAAAGAGGTAGGGATAAATGAAGACCCTTGGATAGCTTCTTTAAACCTGAACTAAAATCTGGGAGAAAATTCACTGCCTTACTAAAATGGAGGCCACCAGCAGACATTGTTCATATTATAACAAGATATGGAGCTCTGGTCTACATAAATGTTCACACACAAGACCTCCGTGGACATAGGTATGTTCCAGTGTATTAGCGGCTCTACTCCGGCATCTTCTTCTTTTGCTATCTGTCAAAACTGCTGGCTAGCAGAGACTGCAAAATAGATGCTCCTATTAGGTTTTAATTTTGTTCATTCTTTGATTCCAACCTCCCTGTTCTACCTGAGACTTGTAGAAGGCAACAGACGGGAGGGAAGGAAGCTGCTTTCAGCCAAAAGGGATAAAAGATTCAAGATTTCTCTCCTATATCTATTTTGTATATTTTTTTAAAAATACTTTAATATATATATGCTCATATATAAATATATCACAACTGGTACCATTTCCATGTTTCAGTAGAAACCTAAAAGCTATACTGAAGTGGGACCACTACAACTGTGTATCTATAACAGTACTTGCTGACCGTGTTCCCTCCCCCATCCTTCATGGACCCCGGTGCACCATGAACAATCCAGGATCTTTTTACAGTCCATTCACACAATCACTTCACAGGTGTGGCCCAGATGATCTTGTGAACATGCAACCATCGAGTGAGACCACCTGAAAACTGGAATCCCAAGCAAATATGAACCAGGGCTGTGGAGGGGGCAATGGAAGCTGGTGATTCCCTGCTCCTTCCCCCCTGCAGACAGTGCCTGCCTCTTTTTCTATTGTTTTTCTGCCATCCCAACTTAAAGCAGAGAGACGCAGGAGGAGATGACTTTAACAGGGCATTTTTAGAAGAAAATTGACAGGTCTATAAGCCCCCTTCCCACCCACTGATTCTTCCGCTGCAAGTAGGTTCTGACTGCACATCAGTTCACAGTCATACAATTTCTGAAATGTGAGGGATTAAAATGATTTGCCTCGGTTTTCTTTTTTTCTTGAGAGTGAGAGAGAGACCCCTCACCAAACTATTTTGATCACCAAACCCTGCCATTTGCCTAATGCTCTCTTCTTGGAGAATGGTCTTCCAGGTGTTGAAGTTACTTCCTTATTATTGGTTCATCAAAACACAGCTTCCCTCTTAAGTTTTGTTTTCAACATGTTGTTTTCAGCGTGGTTCCAAAAAGCATATACAATTGTTTTCTCCCCAAATGGCAGTTAATTAAAATGTTTATTTGAAGTTCTCTTCTGCCCTTTCCCGCGCTTAAAAAAAAAAACTCCAGCAGCATAACCTGGTAAAGACAGGACAACAAATCTTCCTGTCCTTCATTCCCCTTATAGATGCACTCTAAGCATGACAATGAATGCTAGCTCTTCCATCAAAGACTGTGGTGTGTTTTGTGGGGAAGTGATGATTCAGTACTGGTTAGCAGACGGTGTACTGTTTACCAAGACTTCTGGGTCCTCACCTTGGCCCGAATCCTACCCTGTCTCCATGCAGAATGCTTGCAAAGAATTTATTAGTAATCATGGACACATTTCATTTAGTTACGGTACGAGGTGTTTTGGGGTGCATTTTACTCTAAGCATTTCATCCTTAAACCACGACCAGATTTTTCTTTAAAAAAGAAAGAAATGAGCAAAACTCTTGACACTGATGTCTCTCTATAGCATATACAGTAGTTTGGAAAATACTGTTTTGGACGCATATCATCAATAATTCTTGAATCGTTTGTCCAAAAAGTAACACTTCTAAGCTATCTACTACATTTGAGTATTGAACTACCTGTGTATTAAGCTGCTTGAACCTGGATCTGTTTCTGATACAAACAATTAAGGGTCCTTTCATTCATAGCAATGCCAAAGAATGCTGATTGAAACAAACATGGCAGGCACTTCTCGCGTACTGCTTCCATGCCAACCTATGAGACCTACAGTGTTTGAAAACTGGGCCATGATCTGTCTTTTATTCTTTTTTTCTTTTGAGGTTGGAACTGACAAACAAAACAAAACTTAAGGCCTCTATCCTAAGCATGCTAGACATTAAGTCCTGTTAAAAACTCAGTGGGATTTACTTCTGGGTAAACATACTTTAGGACCAGGCTGCAAACCTTTACAACAACTTGAAAAATCAACACTGGCACACCAGCTGCTCTCCTGAGCCCCTGGGGTGAGTTTCGGAGAGTGCTCAGTGCGTCCGCTGATTGATCTGCCACAAAGAAAGCTAAAATACCACAGACAGAAGGCATAGTTGGCCATACAGAGGCAACACCACCATGAAATGTTGTTTTGGCAAAAAGGAGAGAAACAAACAAATAAACAAACAAAAAACAGAGACACAACATCATCCATGCAGTTTCTTTAGAATTGCCCAGCACTGCTGGGGTCACACTGAAGGAGACGGACGATGGACGGATCACTCTTGGCTCCTCGAATAAACTCTTCCAAAGAAAGTTTTCCTAAAAAATAAACAGAGAGGCTAGTTTGGGGTTCTAATATAAGCACAGCATATACTCTAACCAGAAATTTAAAAGAAACTTGACTTTGCCCTCTCTTCCTATCCCGAGATAGTCTTGCCTCCCAAAAGCACTGCATACGTTACTCTTTTTTAATGTGTGCAAAATCTTCTTATTAACCAAACACACTCTTTCCATAGTTTTGCTCCTATCAGTATAAAAAAAATATGTTTATAGTTATTTGAAGCTATCTGATTTTTTAAAAAAAATCTTGATATTTCCCTTATTAATCAAAACAGAAATGTACCCCTAATATATCATATTTCATGGCACCAGTTTGACTTCTGTGTCATATGTCCCTAGGAATACAAGAAAGGGCATCATGGCATAGCTGTTTTATACATAAAGGTAAAGGTAAAGGTAGTCCCCTGACATTAAGTCCAGTCATGTCTGACTCTGGGGTGTGGTGCTCATCTCCATTTCTAAGCCGAAGAGCCAGCGTTGTCCGTAGACACCTCCAAGGTCATGTGGCCGGCATGACTGCATGGAGTGCCGTTACCTTCCCGCCGGAGCGGTACCTATTGATCTACTCACATTTGCATGTTTTCGAACTGCTAGGTTGGCAGAAGCTAGGGCTGACAGCGGAAGCTCACGCCGCTCCCCGGAATCAAACCTGCGACCTTTCGATCAACAAGCTCAGCAGCTCAGTGCTTTAACCCACTGCGCCACCGGGGGCTCAAACAAACAAACAAGCAAATGCAGTCTTGTTTGTTTCAGTCCAAAAATCCAGACAAGCAGTAGACAGGACAGAACATGGAAAAGTTACATTTTAGGGGGAGAGAATGGTGTTGTGGTATATCTCCTGATTACACTTCCTTAGCTACTTTTCCCTACATTTTATAAAGTGGTATCAACTTCCTGCTGTCACAAAATTTTTGCTAGGCAATATGACAGCTTCGGGAGAGCTTCTGAACTCAGATCTTTGCACCCAATTCATTGACTGACCATGGGAGACACTGGAAAAGCTCCCTCATGCCACAGTCTGTCTTCCTCCTCCCTCTCTGGCTGCTTACGTATAGTTATTTAATTTGGAGCAGAATGTGGATTTAGGAGATCTGTTTTGATCTGGAGTGCTTACACAGAACAGGCTGTAAGATCCGACAGAGTCTGGAAAGATCTCTTTATCCAGATTCTGATCTGGATTGGTGCCATCAGAACCCAGGATTGTTCTCCCTTACATAACAGCAGGGACAAACAGCTTCTCCAGGCTAGCTTCAGAGAAAAAAGCTAAAAAGAAAAAGACTGTAAAAGCCAGCGTTCCCGTAGGAACACTGTGTTTTCATTGCCAGAAGGCTGCTTTTTTAACCCAACTGCTCCAGTTTCGGCCCTTTTTATATTCACCCTTTGTATTTACTAGAGTTCCGTCCTCATGATGCACTTTCCTCCGGTCCTTAATGAAGATTCAACCTCACAGTTTGTGCCTTATGAGTTCCTCCCTCAGAAACACACTCTCCCACTACTATCTCATCCAGGGTTTTATCAATTTCATCCTGTGCATTTGGCCCGCCCACTGTGTGCTATCTCTTCATCTTGTTACTTTGTAACTGTTTATTTTATTTTGTCACTTCATTTTTCTTATTGTGATGTTATCTTTGTATTTTATTTTGTTGTATTGTATTTTTGGGCTTGACGTCGTGTTAGCTGCCCCGAGTCCTCTTTGGGGAGATGGCGACGGGGTACAAATAAAGATTATTATTATTATTATTATTATTATTATTATTATTATTATTATTATTATTTGAAACGCAACAAGATGAGTCCACAGCAGAAACTCTGCTGGCTGTTGAATTGGATCACACAACAGACACTTCCCAAGTCTAGGACTGTGTGATGTATTGGTGAATAATGCATGCAGATCCCAGTAAGGTGGCCTTCTGCAGCTGGCAGATGGTAATTTTGTCAGCACCAATTGTGTTTAAGTGCAGGACAAAGTTTTTAGGCACTGCACCCAGTGTGCCGATCACCACTGGGACCACTTTTACTGGCTTGTGCCAGAATCTTTGCAGTTCAATCTTTAAATCCTCATATTGTGTCAGCTTTTCCAGTTGTTTCTCTGCAATCCTGGTGTCACCTGGGATTGCGACATCGACAATCCATACTTTGTTTTTTAACATGATTGTGAGGTCAGGAGTATTATGCTACAGAACTCTGTCTGAATCCGAAAGTCCCAGGGGAGTTTGCCGTGTTCATTCTCTGTAACCTTTTCCATCCTGTGATCCCATCATTATTATTAGTATTAGTATTAGTATTAGTATTTAGCATTCAGATCCTTTTAGTGCCTGGTTTATACACAGGAGGGATCCTGAAGATTGTACAGTTGGAGGTGGGATTTCTGGTGAGTCTTTTTATCACACAATTTCTGGTGGATGCGAATTGGTACTTGCTTGGGGGATGGGGGATTTTAGTGCCTGTGTGAATGGGGCCTCCATCACCCACATTTTCATAGACATATGGCTGGAGAACCTCAAATTGCCCTCAATTTCCAAGATACCCTCAGACACTGGCTACACTTTCTAGAATCCATTGTCCATGCTGGCTGAAGCATGTTAAAAAGTTGAAATTTTTCCAGACTCCAGGACAGGTTTTCCAGCGATATCCCACTCACCCCTTCCCTCATTCTGCAATTTTAAATTTGGTGTCTTTAAAACCTACTAGAGACCTCCACTTCCTATTTCCTCTGCATTAGAACTTGGATTCTTAGTATCTTACACTTAATTACTTACATTTAATTAATTGCAGAAAACAGAAATGTTCCTTTATGAACTTCAGCTTCCAGAATCTTCAAGTCAACTAGGCCAGTGGCCATGCTATCTTGCGGATTCTGGAAAACGGCATTCAACCTTTCCCAAAGTGTGCATAGCTAACAATATGCATGGTTTGGGTTTGTCATGGATTTCTCAGCATAGCAACATAAACATTAAATTTTTCATAGATCCTTGGGTGGCAGCAGCTTATCTATGTATCAGTGCCTTGCTTCTGTTTACTCCCTCAATCCAGCTCTTTGATGGAAATCTGAGATACCACGAAAGAGAGGAGTATGTTTTAAAAGAATATAAACACATATCTAAAGATACCTACCATCCCGATTTGTGTCCATCTGACGGAAGATTTTCTCTGTCCTTTTCTCTGGTGTTGATTCATCTTCTGGCATCTTCATAACTGAAGAAACCATTTTGTAGATTGCCTAAGAAGTAGGACAACAAAAAGGCTTTATGGTGGTTTAATTCTACGAATTTTATGCTATATCTTATATTCTATAGATAGGTTTGTTTTTTTGCTCTAAACAACTAAGTGAAAATTTTGACCAGAATAAATCCCAAACTGCAAAGATTCTTGTCAGTTCATGATTCCTCTAATCAGGGTTTCTAAAACTGGAGAAACCTGTTTTTCTACAAATACAAGTAACCTATATGAACTGCATTTCCACTAGTTTTTAAATATGAATTTGTTAAACCTTGCTTGTTTTAAATAAAAAGTCAATTTATTATAGTTACTGTTCAAGCTCCCGGAGAGCAAACCTCAGCCTCCCCTCTCCTTTTCTTCTCATTTAAGACTTTTTTCTATTCAAGTTACAGAGATGCATATATGTGTGTGCACCTGTATGTACACACACATACATGTTTTCACTACTAATATTATGTTAAGAGAAACCTTAAGTGCTGCTTTGCTGATCATATAATTCCCTTGGTTTATTGTATGAGATTGAATGCTACAGGAAAAGTATATCCATTTCTTTTGTATAAATAAAATATGTGGAGGACTTGGCACACTTTTCCTACTCAAAGAGAATATTCATGTTCAGAGATGCAGTGTACATGCTTTGGGAAGCTGCAACCAGAAGCATAGCATTATAAATGCAAAGACATATTTGTATGTGACACATATTAAGCTTCAAACTGTATGTTATTATCTTTGTGGGAGTGTGTGTGTGTGTGTGTGTGTGTGTGAGTAAAGCAGTCCCACGGCAATCCTAAAAGCAAGACTATTGCACTTACTTCATTATTTTTTTACTTAAGAGAAAGGTGGAGCATAATTGTACATAATGCAGTCGAGAAAAAGCACATTTATTCAGAGTAGGGATACATAGTTTTGCCCAAACTCATTTCACTTCCTGCAAATTTCTTAGCTTTTTTACTCAAGCAGGTCTTGGGCAAAATTTAATGGCAATGGCACAATGGGTTAAACCCTTGTGCCAACAGGACTGATGACCAACAGGTGTGGATGAGCTTCTTCTGTCAGCTCCAACTCCCCACATGGGGACATGAGTGAAGCCTACCACAAGGATGGTAAAACATCAAAACATCCAGGTGTCCCCTGGGCAATGTCCTTGCAGATGGCCAATTCTTTCACACCAGAAGCAACTTGCAGTTTCACAAGTTGATCCTGACACAAAAGAAAAGAAAAAAGATGAACAGATCCATCTCAAAAACAGTTGCTGGTTTCCTTCCTCCAAAAGGCCCTTTTAGTTTCCCTAAAAACAGGATCTTTCCAATCACAGTCAACATTTTGCCTTGATTCTCAAATGGTTTTTAAAGAAACAAGAAGCAGAAACCACTGCCATATGCAAGACTCTGGCACCTGTACATTGGGAGAAAATACTAATAAGTGTGACTGGCGTCTTCACAGAGTAACAAGCCAAAAATCTATGTTTCAGCTCCCATGGTATTGAAAATATAGACTTATAAACTTGAAAATGACATTAAACTTTTTGGAAGAATAAGTCAAGGTTTGCAAATACGCTTTGTTTTCAAAGATAAGCCACAGTAACCAAAAACACACACCCAACACCACATGCCATTTCTGTTGTCCTGAACTATTTTCTGGCAATTCCCACCAGCTGTAACATTTTATTCTCACCATCAAGTGGGACTATTTTTTAATTCCAAGATACATCAGAACAGCTACACAGTGGGGCCCACAGTCCCCACTGTGTAGCTTGTTCGAGGACACCTCACAAACAACAAAAGATGCTCAAGTCACAATATACACAATAGTGTAGTACATGGTGTTTTTGTTTTGTTTTGTTTTTTACATAAAATGGCAAAATCAAGGTTTGCTTTCTGGAATAAAAAATAATAATAAATGGACATGGATGGTTGAATCCATGGATACAGAATCTGTGGATACAGAGAGCCAACTCTTTTCCTTTTAAATAGTTGAGTTAGACTGCTATCATGTATCAGTGAAGTGGCACTTTTGCAGTGTTAAACATTTAAAAGGAATTTGCCTTTAAATGCATAGGCCAACTTCAACAAATGTGCTCACATTTTAAAAAATCTTTGGATACATCTTAGCATAGGTAAAAAAAAATCACGATGAGCAGTCCCCAAAAGAATGGAATGAGAGAACACAGAAGCAAAACAGCGTCTATCTACAGTGTGAGTTCTTTGGCTCAGAAAAGTATCTTGTGAGTTGCCCAGCTGTGAATTGTTGCACTGATTTAACACTGTTGTGGGTTCTGCCAATGACATAGTTATGTCATTGTGAAATTACACACCACACCACATAATGCAGGATCAAAATTATTAATTGATTACATTTTGAAACACCATGTTCAGTAAAATGGCCTCTCCCTCGATTGCTCTCCTTCCCAACATTTAATAAAGCAAAGAAGAAAAAAAGAAAGAAAGGAATGGGAACAATTGTTTTTCATTCAAATGTTTCATTTTCATATAAATGATAACACCATTGCTGGAATTCTGCTGAAGTCTCTCAACTTTGTAAACAGACTCAGAACTGTGAAAATAGGAATTGTGCAGTTAATGGATATTAAGTCCATATCCAGTAAAGGATTACTGTTACGTTACTATATAGTAAAGCCCTATGTTCATTAGTCTGCATTACACATCAGTGCACTATGTGCATAGATACACAATGTGCATTGCCGAGCAATGAAAACCAGTCTGCAATATACATGAGTGTCCAATGCACATCTGTTTATGATGTGCATAGGTTTGTTTTTGTTGTGTCAGGAGTGACTTGAGAAACTGCAAGTCGCTTTTGGTGTGAGAGAATTGGCCGTCTGCAAGGACATTGCCCAAGGGACGCCCGGATGATTTGATGTTTTTATCATCCTTGTGGGAGGCTTCTTTTATGTCCCCACATGAGGAGCTTGGGTTGATAGAGGAAGCTCATCCGCCTCTCCCCGGATTTGAACCAGTGACCTGTCAGTCCTCAGTGCTACTGGCACAGGGGTTTAACCCACTGCGCCACCGGGGGCTCCTGCATTAATGCACATTGGACACTCATTCTGATATCCAGCTATTCATCTTTGCTACTCAGTAAAGAGGTTTCTTGATATCCTTGTGATGTAACTAGATATAAGTAACATGTCATATAGGATTCTCTTATATAACATGTCATACAGGATTCTGGTATGTCATAATAGAATCCATAACAAAACAAAGTAACACAAAATATCCAAATTAACCCCTTCTATCAAACTGCACTAATTAACCTTAACCATTCTAGCTAGCATGGTTGTAATGGTTTGAGCATTGGACTACACCTCTGTAAACCAGGATTCAAATCCTGCTCAGCCTTAAACTCGCTGGGTGATGTCGGGCAAGTCAAACTCGCTCAGCCTCAGAGGAAGGCAATGAAAAACCTCTTCTAAACAAATCTTTCTAAGATAATTCTGCAAAAGGGTGGCATTATAGTCGCCATAGGTCAGAAATGATTTGAAGGTACACAACAATAACAACAGCAACAACAACAATAACAGCAACAACCAACACCATCTCTATCTGGAAAATATCTATGTTTTCTTCATAAAAGGGTTCAAGATTTTAAAGATGCAATATAGCTTCAATAGAACTTATTTGTTTATTTACAGTATTTATCTTCTGCTCTTCTTACCCTGAAGGGGACTCGGGGAGGATCACAGAACCTATATATGCAGCAAACATTTAATGCCATTTTATACACAAACAAGACAGACAATTATACATAGATAGAGGTATATATCGGCTTTCCCCATCTTTGTCATCTTGGAGGCTTTGTGCTCAGTTCTGGCCACTGGGGGGGGGGCGGGATGTGCTGCTGCTCCATCTCCCTTTTGTTTGTAACTTCCTCCTTTTGATTCAATCACCGGCATGTCTTATGAGTGTCTCAGGATACCTCCCCGCTTTTAAGTGGTACCCATTTATCTACTTACATTTGTTCTTGAACCACTAAGTAGGCAGAAGCTGGGCTAAAGGCCAGGAGCCTACCCTGACCTCGGTTTCGAACTGACAGCCTTTTGACTGACAAGATTTACTGCAGCTGGTGGTTTAACCTGATGTGCTAAAGCCCGATATGTCATTCTATTAACAATTTCTGGGCTGTTCAGACAGCTTGAGCAAAGCTGGAACTAGATCCCAGATCAGACCTTAATCCATGAGCAAGTGGAGAACTACTCATCGAAAAAGTTATTGGATACCTCCTTACACAACTATTGACAAAAATAAAATGCCCTGAGTAGCTCACAATGATGCCCATGCGATGCTCCAGCAGGATTATAGCTGGGAGAGTTACACATTTGGCAGCAATTAACACTCCCTTGTGGAACTATTCTCCGACTTGCCATTATCTGTAGAAATTCACAGGCAATATATTTTCATTGAGAATTGGTGTACTTATAAACTAGGCTGTCAAAAATAAAGAAATTCAACATTAAACTTGGAGTTTCATTTTAAAAATGAGAACAACCCCAAGAGCCTAATTAGCTATGACAGCCAAAGAGAACAGCAAGCCTTCATTAAAAATTAGATTTTCATAAAGCTTGTTAGAATGGGCTATTCATGGCATGAGGTTTGCTAAAGCAAACAAGGTCTGTATTAGATCAGGGCTGGATAGCAGTGATCTGGAAATCCATACGTACCACTGTCTAAAATTCCACAGAAGAAAGGCATGAGATATATACTATAATGATAAGGCAAATGGGCCCCTGAAAAGGTACTGGAGCTTTTCCCTTCTCTTTGGAATGATCCTCAACTTATCCCCAGGTCATAATAAAATCCATTATTTTGGTTCCAAAACCTGTCCTTGATGTATATGTAAGGTTGACTTAAATACAAATATACACTGTGTACAGTAAACTCCTACATGGAAGAAGACATTCTGTATATATTTCTGTATATATTTCAAATTTCAATATTAATGTCAAAAATACGTAGTATGATTTTACATAGGATTTGTGCTACATTAGAACAATAAAGCAAATATCACTAAAGTAAAATAAACATTAAATATTAAATAACCAGAAAAATAAAATAAGGCATAAACACTAAACTAATCTGGGAATCTGCTATTGCAACACATTCCTTTTTATTTCCTAAAGCATAAAAAAGGATGGCAAACACAGTTCTGCTTTCTGACTATGTTACAAGCATCAAAAAGTCACAGTGTAGATTGGTCACTCAATAGAAACCCCACTCTTCCTCTGTGACAGTTGTAAACTACACAGCACATAATGCATTCAATACAGTGTGTATTCCAGGATGCATCTACACTATAGAATTACTGCAGTTTAACACCACTTTAACTGTTAAGGAATAATGGGAGCTCTAATTTTACAAGCTTTTTAACCCTTCTGCCCAAGAGTGATGGTGCCTCACCAAACTACAACTCCCAGGATTCCATAGCACTAAGCCATGGCATTTAAAGGGGTGTAAAACTGCATTAATTCTATAGTGTAGGTGCTCACTAGAACATACTGCATCTATCACCCATTTACATACCCAACCACCAACAAGAGGAATCACAACATAGCTTGAATATCTGCTGGTGGAATATGTCAGGCTAGCATAACCCCCACAGAGAAGAGAAGCACTGCATGATACAAATTCAAGAATGGGCCCCATTGCATATTGTGCAGTGTACTTTTTGCACATCCATTTTCGTAATGGTCCCACCTGCACCACTCTACTTTCAAAGTCTTCAGCTGAATACAACTGTTACAAAAGGCCAAAATAACTGGTCCCCATGCATTGTGCAACTTATGCTTGTGCATTTCATTATCAAGATGCCAGCCTTGGTGTCAGACGACTCCATGAATGAAACAGAGAGCTCTTAATGCCGAGGAATACAACTGAGCTCCTTTAGTAGAGAAGCAGAGAGAAAAATCTTTCCATTAGTCACAATGATCAGAATCCCAGAAGTGGTAGGTTTTCAAAATGATGTATATTCAAAATTCTACACATTATTAAGCCGAAGGGAACACATGGCAGTCCAAGATTGCAACAAGATTTATTGTGCCTTCATTGTGGGTAAAACTAATGCCAGTGGGTTTTTTTAAGGGGGAGGGGGAACAAGCAAGTAGCACATACCTGAACAATTTCCAACATCTCTGCCTTGCTGATGTATCCGTTTCCATCCAGGTCATACATGCTGAATGCCCATTTCAGCTTTTGCTCCAACTTCCCTCGAGACGTTACGCTCAAGGCTATAATAAATTCTCTGAAGTCTATTGTTCCATCGCCATTGGCGTCAAAGGTGCGGAATACGTGTTCGGCAAATTTAGAAGCGTCCCCATAAGGAAAAAAATTCCCATAGATTTTCTTAAATTCCTCCATGGACAAATGTCCGCTTGGACAGTCTCTCAGGAAGCCCTTGTACCATTCCTGGATCTCGTGTTCTGTAAAGTCTGTGCTTTCTAGCAAATCCTGCATGACTTCAGGGCGTAACTTGCTGTTTTGTTTCCCCATGGTGGTGTCAGGATCTTATCTAAAAAGGAAGAGAGAAAAGAAGTTAATTTCTTGTTTACAACACTAAAGACTAATGATGAACACTGCAAGTCTCAGAGCAGTCTTTGAAAGAATGTTTTGTTACCATCACACTTATCCTGCAGCTGTGTAGTTCAGGAAATCACAAACGAGGAACCTCAACAGACCTGTGAAAACCTGTGCAATCAAATAGTGAGTAGCTGGCTGACATCATTGCACCATGCTGAATGCCACATTTTGGTCAAGGAAGATCTCAGTAGATTTTGGAGTTGGGGACGGCATGACAGGATGAGGGAACTAGTGAAGTCCTAGAAGAAGGCAAATAACATAATGGAGGTGTTCCCTTAGCCTTAAATATCTGCAAGAAGATCATGTTTTAACTGAGATGGGATATAAAGCACAGTATGCAGGGGCGGCTCAACCCATTACGCACAGTAAGCATTTGCAGTATAGTTGATTTTGCCCAGGGGAGCTCTTGAGGCGCTCTTGGGGGAAAATAGACCTTGACATATGCAAGTTGTAGTTACTGGAATGTATAGTTCACCTACAATCAAAGAGCATTCTGAACTCCACCAATGATGGAATTGAACCAAATATGGCACACAGAACTCACACGATGAACGGAAAATATATATTAGTGATTGGTTGGGGGCGGGGGGCAAAATACTGTTTGCTTACCGTTGAAAATTACCTAGGGCCGCCTCTGACAGTATGCTGCATGTTTCTGTATGATACAATGAAAATTAAGATACTGGTCAATATTCTTCAGAGTTACTTGTTATTTGTACAATGCAACCTTTGCATAGCAATGTTGCAAAACTAAACGAAGACATCCAACATGCAACATCAAAGAGGGGGCTAACCCATACCCAAACTTTCACTTCCCATGCTTTTAAAGATCTAAAAGACATCATTGACTGATATAACTTGTCCTCATGTTCTTCTCCATGGCTGATATGACTAGCATCCTTGCCAAGGTTACATCTAGTGCAGCATTTCTCAACCTGGGGATCGGGACCCCTGAGAGAGGGGTTGCGAAGGTGGTGTCAGAGGGGTTGCCAAAGACCATCAGGAAACACAGTATTTTCTGTTGGTCATGGGATTTCTGTTTGGGAAGTTTGGCCCAATTCTATTGTTGGTGCGGTTCAGAATACAATTTGATTGTAGGTGAACTATAAATCTCAGCAACAACTCCCAAATGTCAAGGTCTATTTTCCCCAAACTCCACTAGTGTCCATATTTGGGCAGATTGAGAATTTTTGCCAGGTTTGGTCCAAATCTTTCATTGTTTGAATCCACAGTGCTCTTTGGATGTAGGTGAACTACAACTCCAAAACTCAAGGTCAATGCCCACCAAACCTTTGTAGTATTTTATGTTAGTCTGTGTGCCAAGATGGTTCAATTCCATCATTGGTGGAGTTCAGGATGCTCTCTGATTGTAGGTGAACTATAAATCCCAGCAACTACAACTCCCAAATGACAAAATCACACACACACACACCCAATCCCACCAGTATTCAAATTTGGGCGTATTGGGTATTTGTGCCAAATTTGGTCCAGTGAATGAAAATACGTCCTGTATATCAGATATTTGCATTACGATTCATAACACTAGCAAAATTACAGTTATGAAGTAGCAACGAAAGTTGGAGGGGTCACCACAACATAAGTTGGTTGGGGGGGGTCACCACAACATAAGGAACTGTATTAAGAGGTTGTGGCATGGGGAGGGCTTTATCTTGATGGTAGGGCAACTACTTTACATGCAAAACTATCAGGTTCAATGTTCAAAAGAGTCAGGAAAGATTGCCGTCTGAAACCACAGAGGAGACTTTGACAGTCCATGTGAATCAACCTTACAAACCTACAACCACCAATAGTCCCAGGCAGCATGGCCAATAGCCAAGAAAAATGAAATCAAACCATCTGGATGCATTTCACTGGTCTGGATCATATAAAAGTTAATGGGCCAATGATCTGAGCTGATATAAGGCAAAGGTGAGATGAATTATGCTCACTGGAGAATTCTGGGGAATACAGCTCCAAAAATGAACTATTACGATCTCTACTGCAAAACAACTTTTGACAGCCCCATCTAAGGAATTGAAGCTAGTGCTAATTCTTATTAAGCACCACTTGTTCTAGTACTGTCAATCTACTACTGAATCTACATCTTTACATTTAATAAGTGTTATTTCAAATGTCATCAGTCGCTTATATTCTTTCCAAAGCTTCCATGCTCGTGAGATTACCCCACCCGTGACCTTCAGTTCTTTTGCAAGGAAAAATTCAAGTTAGAGGATGCAATTAAGATAGAATTGTACAATTTAAACTTTAAATATATTTTTCCATATTTCTTTGTATACCTCAGAGGCCAGATACTAACCCAATTAGTAGTTATAAAAGGGCTTAGCCAAAAATCTCTGAATATCTTTTAAGAAGAAAATTCAGTAAAAGCACAGCACTTGTAAAAGAAAGAAGTAATTTCCCCCTTTAAATTAGACATTTAAAAATCTACTCAAGGATAACTCCAATTTTTAAATTAAATTATTACTGATATTTTGGTTGAAAGAAAATTGCTGAACTTCCATTGCACTATGTTTCTAGGAAATATTAGAGCCTTGAAACAGTACTTTAGACGCCAAAATCTCAGTTCAAATGAGAAGTTTAATTAGATTTCATAAGAGGGCCTGCAATGGAAATAGGCCCATAATTTCATAGTTCAAAATTGGCCCCTTCATATGTTATCTATTTCTCAGACATTTGGACCAACAGTTCTGCAGATCTTATGGAAACAAAGACAAATCATCCAAGTCCTTGAATAAGTGAAAGCCAAAAAATAGGGGAAGTACAGCCAAGTGAAAATGAGTGCAAGAACATTGGATTTTCTTCACTGACTCTTTGGCATACTTTTATTCTCTCAACTGTTATTGTTATTGAGTAATCAATGAAGTCTCAAATTGTGTGTTTATTCATTCATCTTTCTTCCAAAGAGGTGGAAACAAAATAACTATGAAGAAAGGTAACCTGAGAGGGAGGATCTGAACCCAAGAGTCTCCTATTTCAACATTTTTACCCCTGCACTAAACTGGTTGATAGAGCTTTAAATAGGTTGCTGTGAGTTTTCTGGGCTATATGGCCATGTTCCAGAAGCATTCTATCCTGACATTTCGCTCACATCTATGGCAGGCATCCTCAGATATTGTGAGTACTGTTGGAAACTAGGCAAGTGGGGTTTATATATCTCTGGAATGTCCAGGGTGGGAGAAAGAACTCTTATTTGTGTGAGGAAAGTGTGAATGTTGCAATTGGACACCTCATTAATATTTAATGGCCTTGCAGTTTCAAAAACTGGCTGTTTCCTGCCTGAGGGAATACTCTGTTGGGAGGTGTTAATTGACCATGAATGTTTTTTGTCTGGAATTCCAGTTTTCCGAGTGTTGTTTTTTATTTACTGTTCTGATTTTAGAGTTTTTTAATACTTGTATTAATCTATACTTGGAGCCCTTGGTGGTGCAGCAGGTTAAACCACTGAGCTGCTGAACTTGCTGACCAAAAGCTTGGCAGTTTGAATCTGAGGAGCAAGGTGAACTCCCAATGTTAGCCCCAACTTCTGCCAACCTAGCAGTTTTAATGTGAATAGATTAATAGGTACCGCTCCGGCAGGAAGGCAACAGAACTCCATCCACATGACCTTGGAGACACTTATGGACAACACCAGCTCTTTGGCTTAGAAATGAAGATGGGCACCAAAGCCAGAGTCAAACGCGAACAGACTTAATGTCAAGGAGGAACTTTTATCTTTACCTATAATTTGTTCAACAAGATTTTAACAACAAGTTAAAGTATGGTAGGAGCCATTGTGTGGTTAAACATCTGGCTCTCTCTTTCTCCCTACTCATAACAACGTCATTTTTGTTGCTAACAGGAATCAAGTCAACTCTGTCTTGTCATGACCCCATGAATGAGAGACCTTCAAGTCACCCTGTTATAAATTGCCCTGCTCAGATCTTGTAGTTTTAAGAATATGGCTTCCTGACTGGGCTCATCCATTTGTAATGCAATCTTCCTCTTTTCCTACAGCCTTCTAAATTACCAAGCATTATTGTCTTTTCCAGTGAGTCATATCTTTTCATGATATATCCAACCTCACTTTAATGATCTTGGCTTCTAGGAAGTTTGAGACCCATTTACTGGGAGTTTTTTTAGCAGACCATGTTACCTGTCCAACTCTCCAGCATCACATTTGAAATGAGTTGTTTCTTTTCCTGTCAGCTTTCTTCACTCTCCAGCTTTCATAACCATACACAAAAATTGGAAATACTAAGTTCATTTGCACTGCAACTTTTCCATAAAACTGGGACTCAAAGCATCTTTCCTGTCAGAGCACCATAACCAGAACAGTACACTGTTCTGTTATGAGCTCAATTTCTCATTGTCTCTTTAGTTCTCCCTTTTTGAAAATGCATAACTGGAATAACTCTCCAAGAGACTTGGCTGTTTCACAGAATAGATGTCTAGGCAGCATCCACCAAGGACTCAACTTTCAAAAACCTCTTGGTAAGAAAGTAAAACAAGGAAACCAAATGCGTTTCAGCACCCTGATAACAAGACATCAGATAACACCTTACAAAAGCTTAAGAAGTAATACATTGGACATATGACCTTCACAGCTACAGAAGCATAAAAGCAAGCTGATACATGTAATTGTATCTGCCTGCTAGTAATTCATTGTTGGTAAGAGAGACTAAATTGTATAGCCTGTGAACCAACGATCTCACTTCATGGAGAGAAAGGGTTTGGGGCAGTTTGAGAAACGCTGTGCTAGAAGATACAGTAGAGCTCTGATAATGTAAAAATGTGTATATCTAACCAAACTTGAGGTGTCGAGAATCAGGTGAACCATACAGTCAAGGACAGTATAGATTATATTGTCGAAGGCTTTCATGGCCAGAATCACTGTTTGTTGTAGGTTTTTTTCGGGCTATTTGGCCATGTTCT